AGAGACAGGAGGGTCTATGTGAATTATTTGGAATTCTTCCATCAAGGAAGTTGATCTCTTCTTTCCTGACTGCTTTTTATTTTTATTTTATTTTTTGAGTAGGAGTCTTACTCTGTCGCCCAGGCTGGAGTGCAGTGGCACACTCACGGCCACCATAGCCTCGACCTGCTGGGCTCAGGTGATCCTTCTGCCTCAGGTTTCCAAGAAGCTGGAACCACAGGTGCGCACAACTATACCTGGCTAATTTTTTGATTTATTGTAGAGACGAGGTCTCACCATGTTACCCAGGCTGGTCTCAAGCCTGTGGACTCAGGCAACCCTCTCGCCTCTGCCTCCCAAAGTGCTGGGATTACAGGCTGAGCCACCGAGCCCGGCCAACTTACACATTTTTAACACAGTCGTGTAGTGCTCAATTATAGGGATACATCTAAAAGATGTATCATTAGGTGATCGCATCATTGTGTGAACATCCCAGAGTGACTGACACATACCTAGATGGTACAGCCTAATACACACCTAGGCTGTGTGGTGTAGCCTGTAGCTCCTAGGCTATAGACCTGGACAGTGTGTGACTGTGCTGGATACTATAGGCAGTTGGAACACAATAGTGAGTATTTGTGTATCTAGGGATGTCTAGACATAGAAAAGATACAGCAAAAATACAGTATTATAATCTTATGGGACCACCGTCACGTATGTAGCCTATTGTTGACAAAAGCATCGTTATGTGACATGGGACTGTAGTGTGTTGTTTAGATTCTGGGTATGGTTAGAATCCTCTGGAGAATATTGATTCTTTTTTTTTTTTTGAGTCAGAGTCTCACTCTGTCGCCCAGGCTAGAGTGCAGTGGCACACTCACAGCCACCACAGCCTCGACCTGCTGTGCGCAGGTGATCCTTCTGCCTCAGCCTTCCAAGTAGCTGGAACCATAGGCATGCAGCACTATGCCCAGCTGATTTTTTTTTTTTAATTGTAGAGACGAGGTCTCACCAAGTTGCCCAGGCTAGTCTCGAACTCCTGGACTCAGACAATTCTCTTGCCTTGGTCTCCCAAAGTGCTGGGATTACAGGTGTGAGCCACCGCACCTGGCTGATAATACTGATTCTTAATTTGTATGGTTTTAGCAATCACCAACTCAGTTAGGTTCAGACCACTAGCTCTGTCTTGCCTTCCATGGGTGATGACACCTATGGCAGCCCAGACAATGGCAGTGAAAGATGATGTGACTTGGCCAAAGTCATTTAGAAACACAGAGCCTGGTTGACGGCCAGACCTCATGGCTCAAGCACTCCTTCTAATACAAGCACCTTCTCTGGACTTCACCTTCAGCTCTGGGATTCCCACTTCGCCTGGCCAACAGTGGATAAGCAAAGAGGGCATGGACATAACAGATGGAGTCATGGGGTCTTGGGACACTTCCTCCAACCTAAGAATCTGTATATATAGTCAGAGTGAAAGGTCAAGGCTTCTGCCTCCCATTCGTGACAGGGGATGAATCAATTTCTGGAGAAGCAACGAGTGAATCACTTCTTGTCTAGAGACCAACACATTGGACACCCCCTATAAATTACTATGTTAATAACATAAAGTCAAGGAGAACCCAGCAATTGCCGTGGTCTATACCAGTGCCTTCTTATAGATGATCTTAGGGATCCATTGATACAATCTGTATAAATATTCTCAGAAAACTTGTTTCCAGTTGTGGCCATTCAGAGAATACAGGAAACATTTAGCTTATAAAATCCAAAATATTGTGTTCAACTCTCTAGTATTTTCTTGTTATTAGAATAACACAAAAATTATTAATGGACTTTTAAGAATCACTTCAGGACTGGGGGCAGTCGCTTATGCCTATTGAACCCACGGATTCAAGACCTGCCTGGGCAACTTGGTGAGATCTCATCTCTACAATAAATCAAGAAAAATTAGTCAGACGTGATGGCGCATGCTTGTAGTTCCAGCTACTTGGAAGGCTAAGGTGGAAGGATCACTTGAGCCCAGCAGTTCAAGTGTGTGGTGGCCATGAGCGTGCCACTGCACTCCTGCCTAGGTGACAGAGTGAGACTCTGACTCAAAAAAAAATAAAATAAAAATCACTTTTTATTTCATTGTTCTTTATTGATTTGGGGTGTTTCCAAGTGTCTGTTTTGATGTTTGCCCGTGGATGAATACAACGGACATAACACCAGGACTCTGGAAACCTTTCTTGGGTTCAAGTCCTGGCTCCCCCTCTTGCTAGCTGCATGATATAGACCTCTTTGGATTTAACACTACTCTTTTGTAAAATGAGGAAATAGCAGTTTTCCCTGCATAGAGGTCATTTGAGGATTGGAGAGTAAGTCTGTGTGAAGTGCCTAGAACAGTGTTATTTGTTTGGTTTTTGTCTTTGAGTTGGGGTCTCATCCTGTCACCTAGGCTGGAGTACAGTAACAGGATCATGGCTCACTGTGGCCTTGAAAGCCTGGGATCAAGCAATCCTCATGCCTCAGCCTCCTGAGTAAGTAGAATTATAGGCATATGCCACTACACCTGGCTAATTAAAAACAATTTTTTTTTTTTTTTAGAGACAAGGTTTCAGGCCAGGCACAGTGGCTCATGCCTATAATCCAGCACTTTGAGAGGCCGAGGCAAGAGGATTATCTGAGCCCATAGGCTCAAGACCAGCCTGGGCAACATGGCAAGACCTTGTTTCTACAATAAATCAAAAATAAGCCAGGCATGATGGTGCATGCCTGTGGTTCTAGCTACTTGGAAGGTTGAAGAGAAAGCCTCGCCTGAGCCCAGTAGGTTGAGGCTGCGGTGGCCATGAGCGTGCCACTGCACTCCAGGCTGGGCAACAGAGTGAGACTCCGACTAAAAAATAATAATAATTACAAGTGCTCAGGTGGGCTGGGTTCCACCTAAGTGCTTTACTTCATCTCATCCTTGATATTGATTGCTGTTACTGACATAGAGTAAAGGGAAAGACACCGAGGTTGCATAAATTCATTTAACACAAAACAACCAATGCAAACCAAGCAGTGTATTTTCATGCCAGACGTGAAGTAACTGTGTTGCTCTGTTTTTCTTCCTACTTTATAACCTTCTGAGCATGAACCTTGATTTCTGCAGTTACATAAAGCTCATTTTTTGGAATAAGAGACCTCTTGGATAAAACATGGAGGTGAAGAAACAAAGAAAAACTCGCGGTGGGGAATCTGGTCATTTGGAATCAGCGTTAACTTTTGGTCTCAGTTTTTACTTTGAGTGTGGGAAAATGTTTTTGGTGTTCTTTCTCTGGCTTAGATTTCTCTTTGATTTTGGCCTTCTAATGATAAGTAATCATTTGAATTCAATAGGATCTTATCCAGTGTCAGGAATTGCAAAAGCTGGAGAGATAGACTATTTCTGACCTTAGATATCAGAGGATCAGTGAACTTCCTTCCCAAATGGAACTGCGTTAAAGTGTCATGTGTTAAATGTAGATGCTGTGTAGAACCCAGAACCCAGGTGGCTTTTTTGGGAAGATGCAGCCCTATGAGATGGAAAAGCCGATGTTGGCAGAGCAAGAGCTCATGCTCATGCAAATCCTCTTCAGCCTGGACCTCCGGATCCCTGGTGCTGCTCATTTTAGTATCAGCCAAGAGAGCGACTCTTCTGGGCAAGCCTTCAGAGAAGGGACAGGTCATGCCTCCCACACCCAGAAGTGCTTCCTCACGCTGAACAGAAACACACTTCAACATTTTTCCAATTTTAAGTTTGAAATCATTTCAGACTTACAGGAAAGTTGCAGAAGCGGCATAAAGAAATGTCTACCCCTCACCCAGATTCCCCAAACGTTAGCACTTTGCCACATTGACTTCATTCTCCTCCTGTCTGCCTCTTTGTTTCCCCCTCTTCCTCCCTCTCTCTCTTTCTTGCCTCTCTTTCCTTCCCTCTCTTTCTCTCTCCTCTCTCTCCTTTTCCCTCTCTTCCCCCTTCTCTCTCTCTCCCTCTTCTTCTCCCTCCCTCTCTCTTTCTTTCTGTCTCTGTCTCTCCTTCTCCTTCTCCTCTCCCTTCCTCCCTCTCTCTCTTTTTGTCTGTCTCTCTACCTCTCTCTCCCTCCCTCTCTTTCTCTCTCTCTCCCCCTCTCCTTTTCCCTCTCTCTCTATCTCTCTCTCCCTCCACTTCCCTCTCTCTCTCCTTTGCTTCCTGCCACTCGCTCTCCTCCTCTCCCTACTTCCCTCTCTTCTTTGTCTTTCCCTCTTTCTCCTCCTCTTCCTCCCTCCCTCTCTCCTTCTGTTTCTGTCTCTGTGCCTCTCTCCCTCTCTCTCTCTCCCCCTCTCCTTCTCCCTCTGTCTTCCCCCTTTCTTTCTCTTTATCTCTCTTTCCCCCTCTCCTTCCCCCTCTCTTCCCTTTTTTCTGAATGATTTGAGAGTAAGTTGCAGACATTATGCTCCCTTACCCCTAAGTACTTCAGTGTGTATTTCCTAAAAACAAGTTACATAACTAGAGTTCACTGATCAAACCCAGAAAATTCACACTGACGCTGTGTGTTAGCTCTGTTATCTAATCTGCAGACTTTATTCAGACGTCACCAATGCCTCACAGACGTCCTCTATAACAAATGAAATGAAATTTTTGGGTCCAGAATCCAATCCCAAATTACATATCCCATTCGCTAGATTTATTTCCTCAGAAGATATTCTAAGGGATCCTGAACTCTCACTATTTAGGAAATCCTTCCTTTAAGATAACAAATTTGCCTTCCTGTCAAAGAATGTCTTCCAGAATATTTGCCTGTACTGTATGGGGGAAAGGCGTAAAAGGAGTTAAAATAAACATAGTTCATTGTGTTGATTATATGCAAGTAAGACCTCATTAGGGAAGGTTCCTTCTTCCTGGCTTTACAGAAAAAATTAGAGTGTGAGTCATTGTGTTTGTAAGCTTTGTATGCTGGCTGGATGTTGAGCATGAATTGCCTGCCCTGCAACTCAACGTAGAGTCACAGACATTGTGCTATTTGCACTTTTTTTTGCAGATGTAGTGCTGGAAAAAGCCATGCACAAGTGCATCTTGAAGCCCCTGAAGGGCCATGTGGAGGCCATGCTGAAGGACTTTCACATGGCCGACGGCTCGTGGAAACAGCTCAAGGAGAACCTTCAACTCGTGCGGCAGAGGAACCCGCAGGAGCTGGGGGTCTTCGCCCCGACTCCTGACTTTGTGGATGTGGAGAAAATCAAAGTCAAGTTCATGACCATGCAGAAGATGTATTCACCGGAAAAGAAGGTCATGCTTCTGCTGAGGGTCTGCAAGCTCATCTACACGGTCATGGAGAACAACTCAGGTGAGGCTGCTCTGGGCCACTTCCCACCAGGGGCCAGTGCCACTCCGGTCCTGGGTCAGGCTCTCTGATTCCCAGCTTCCCCTTCCTTCAGTCTCTTGAATTCACAGAGCGACTTACAAAATTACAAGTGTCTCTCTGACATCTAGGCAAATTAATCACATGCAACAGATCAATACCACCAAAAACTGTGCATGACTGGGGCAATGAAATTTCTGCAGGTGCTGATTTAATGAAAAGTTAGGATGTGGTTACAAATCCAGTCTCTGGAGTCTAAGTTCAAATTCCCCCTCCAAGGAGTTCATTGACTGAGCAACTTTGGTCCCTTTAATCAGTTACCTAATCTGCAGATTTCAGTCTCATCTAGTGCCTCACTAATGACCTTTATAACATATGAAACAAGAAATCTGGGGGACCAGAATCCAATCCAAGATTGCATATCATATTTAGTTGAATTTATCTACTTAGAAAATATTCTAAGGGATCTTGAATCCTCGCTCTTAGAAAATCCTTCCTTTAGCAGGGCACAGTGGCTCACACCTGTAATCCCAGCACTTTGGGAGGCAGAGGCAAGAGAATTGTCTGACTTCAGGGGTTTGAGACCAGCCTGGGTAACTCGGCGAGAACTTGTCTCTACAATAAGTAATAATAAAAGAAAAAATTAGTCAGGCGTGGTGGCACATGCCTGTTGTTCTAGCTACTTGGAAGGCTGAGGTGGAAGGATTTCTTGAGCTCCACAGGTCGAGGCTGTGGTGGCCACGAGCATGAGCATGCCACTGCACTCCAGCCTGGGTGACAGAGTGAGGCTCCAACTCAAAAAGAACTCTTTCCTTTAAGATAACATAGTTACTTTCCTGACAATCAAACGATCATTTGAAAGACATGGTCAAAAGAATATCTTCTAAAATATTTGCCTGTATTTATAAGGAGGAATATAAAAGTAGTCAAATATATTTTATTGTATTGATCAGATACAAATAAGACATTAGCGGCTAGGAGGGCCATAGGCCATGTGGGATTCCAGAAACACCCATCTCTATTTATATATAGCACGTTTCACCAGAGTGACTCCTGACCTTCAAATAAAAGCAGAAAGTGAGGTATAAAAGACAGAGAAGTTGGTAGAAATATCCCTGTCTCACTCTTCAAAGCTGCAGTTGCTGTGTCTGTCATTGACTGTGACCCTTTCTTTTGGGGATTCACTGATACAGCCCAAGCATAGCCTCAAGTGCAACAGAAATATCATCGCTACATTTTGGCTACTGAGAGTTTGTGTCCATGGTCTCTAGTGTGTGTCAGAAACTCAGAGCATATAGTAATACTGAGGTTGCATTAGAGCCATTTGGTTGGCACACCCTTCTTGGAAACAAGCTGAAGCAATGTAACTGAAACTCACGAAAGACTTACACCCTTGGAAAGTTAGCCCTTTTTGCTTCCTGACAATAGAGGAGTAACCACAATTCACGGATAGTGACCGAGTCCCACCTAGGCCCAAGTCTTTGGGGGAGCTTGTTGTAATTCCGAAGACAATGACCAACTTTTCTTTTGAGCGAAATTGCTCAATGAAGAAACAACAGAGAGAAAACATAGGCTCTGTTAACCATTGCTTGGGTGGATTGGAATCTGCAAAGTGTTGAGTCAGGATACTATGTGAGCTCTTGGGCCTGGTCAAGATGGCATGTGAACGTCCTCTGAAGTTTGCAGGCATATTTCATATATAGTAAAGATATTTTCTATAGTTCACAAATCATTTATAAAAATTCCTAAAATAACATCTGCATAGAATTTATGTTCTTCTGAGCAGTTTCTCAGCCTATGCACTGATGACATTTTAGACAGGACAATTCTCTGTTGTGGGGGGGATTCCATGCTTCCTGTAGGAAGTTTAGTGGTGTCTTGGATGCCATCTGTACCCTCATCCTGCAGTTGTGATGTTGAAAAATGTCTCTGGACAATACCAAATGTCCCATGGATACAAATCCCTCCCCAGTTGAGAACTGCCATTTTAAATAAAACTAGAAGTAAAGACTAAAATTTTTGCCCTATGTCACTATTAAACAATGTGCATATTCAACATATACTGAATTGGCACATTTAAAGAAATTAATTAATTGTTCATTTCTAGTGAGACCTTGTCTCTACAAAAAAATAAAGAAATTAGCCTGGCATGCTGGGGCATGCCTATAGTTCCAGCTACTCGGGAGGCTGAGATGGAAGGATCACCTGAGCCCAGGAGACAATGGCTACAGTGAGCCATGCTTGTGCCACTGCACGCCAGCCTGAGGAACAGAGGGAGACCCTGACTCAAACAACAACAAAATGTGCTGACCTTTTCCACACTGAATACACAGCAAAGCTTATTTATTCCTGGCTAGAGTTTGGTCTTGTCATTATGCTTGTGAATAATGTGCACAGAAAGTCACAGGAAGTAAGACACAAAGAATTAGTATAAGTAAATATTTTGTAAATGTTTTATAATACTGCTTGCTGAAAGTTAAAATAGTTTAAAGAGTACTGAATGGTTACACAATTTTTTTTTTTGAGTCAGAGTTTCACTCTGTCACCTAGACTGGAGTCACAGTCACTGCAGTCTCCACCTGCTGGGCTCAGGTGATCCTTCCACCTTAGCCTTCCAAGTAGTTGAAGCCACAGGCACGCACCACTGCACTGGCTCATTTTTTTAATTTATTGTTGAGATGAGGTCTCACCAAGTTGCCCAGACTGGTCTTGAACCCCTGGGCTCAGGCAATCCTCTCGCCGCTGCATCCCAAAGTGCTGGGATTACAGGCATGAGCCCCCGTGCCCGGCCTGTTACACTATTTCACACAAATCACAAAAGTGGGGAGATAAGTCTATGACGTGTTCATTGACTCAGAGACATTCATTCTGAAATTGTAAGGGCTGATCTCTGCCATTAGCAGCTGGGGGGTTCATAGCCTTTGTAGGATTCCAGAAACGCCCACCTCTGTTTATAAATAGCAGAGTGACTGCTTGCTATCTAATGAAAGCAGCAAGGAGGATCTGAAAAAAAGGTGGGTAGAAACATTCCCATCTTGCTCTTTCTTCCTACTCCCAGGGAGAATGTATGGCGCTGATGACTTCTTGCCAGTCCTGACCTACGTCATAGCTCAGTGTGACATGCTTGAATTGGACACAGAAATCGAATACATGATGGAGCTTCTAGACCCATCGCTGTTACACGGAGAAGGTAACCTATTTTTGAAAAAAATGGAGGAACTGGGTGCTTTTTTTTCCATTTTTATTTTTTATAATTGGGATGAAATTCATATAAACTAATCATTCTAAAGTAAGTAATTCAGTGGCATTTTTTTGTAGCACTTTCACTCGGTTGTGCAATCACCACCTCTACCAAACTTCAAAACATTTTCCTCTTCCCAAAGTAAAACCCTGTACCCCCTAAGCAGTTACTTGGGAGCTTTTTTTCACTTCCCTCCTGTAGTCTGAAGGGTGCTTTTTTGACATTTTAAGTATTAACTGTGGTTTTTATTTTTGTACTTTAAAAGAATGTGCTGTCGAGCGTGCTGGTTCATATCTGTAATCCCAACACTTTGGGAGGTTGAGGCAGGAGGATCACTTAAGCTCAGGAGTTCATGACCAGCCTGGGCAACATAGAAAGATCTTGTCTCTATAAAAAAGTCAAAAAATTATCCAGGGGCAATGGTGCATGCCTGTAACCCCAGATTTTCAGGAGGTTGAGGTGGAAGAATTGCCTGAGCCCAGAAGGTTGAGGCTGCGGTAACCATGGTCATGCCACTGCACTCCAGCCTGAGCAACAGACTGAGACCTGGATTTAAAAAAAAAAGTGGTAATCTCTGATTAAAAAAAGGAATACAACCCTGAGTTATACCCCATATTTTTATTTTTTAAAAAAGAGTACATGTTCATCATAGAAAATTTGAAAAAGTCAGGAAAAAGAAAACATGCAACCCTGCCATCATTAAAATTCACCGAGATTGGCCGGGCGTGGTGGCTCATGCCTATAATTCCAGCACTTTGGGAGGCCAAGATCAGAGAATTGCCCAAGCCCATGGGTTTGAGACCAGCCTGGGCAACTTGGCAAGACCTCATCTCTACAATAAATTTAAAAATTAGCCAGGCATGGTGGCGCATGCCTGTAATTCCAGCTACTTGGAAGGTTGAGGCGTAAGGATCACCTGAGTCCTGTAGGTCAAGGCTGCGGTGGCCGTGAGCATGCCACTGCACTCCGGCCTGGGCAATAGAGTGAGACTCCATCTCAAAAAAAAAACCAAAAAAACTACTGAGATTGCTTAATAGCAATTTAAAAATACCATTCAATAGAATAAATGCCTTTTTTTTGAGTAGGAGTCTCACTCTGCCACCCAGGTTGGAGTGCAGTGGTATGCTCACGGCCACCGTAGCCTCGACCTACAGGGCTCAGGTGATCCTTCTGCCTCAGCCTTCCAAGTAGCTGGAACCACAGGCTGTGCCACCACACCCAGCTAACTTTTTGATTTATTATAGAGACGAGGTCATGCCAAGTTGCCTGGGTTGGTCTCAAACCCCCAGGTTCAGGGAATCCTCTTGCCTTTGCCTCCCAAAGTGCTGGGATTACAGGCATGAGCCACCATGCCCAGAATAAATGCCATTTTTAAAAGAAACAATTTCTTTGATTCCAAGAGGAAATGATAAATCTTTGCTAGAGAATATTTTCACTGCCAGAAAAATTACCTGCTATAATATCAGTTAAAATGGATGAAGACCTGGTTTTTGTTTCAACTTTTTGGCACAATTTCATTTTCAAGATGAAAACAGTACGAATTGTGTCTCCAATTTAAAAAACAGCATCTGCTCCCAGTGGCAGGGAACCAGTGTGGTTTGCTGTCAAGTCACCTGGCAGTTCATGTTCCTTCTCGTGTCTGCCTGGCCCCAGCGTGTCTTGGGAAAAATTCCTTCTCCTGAGACATGGCTGAGGTATCTTATGGAGATCATTTGGACGACTGGCACTGTTGTGTGCAGCCTAGAAAAGCAGAAGTCACTGGGACTCTCATGGGAGCTGTCTTTTTAATGAACAGGTCAGAGCCTGCACGTGGTGAGTCCTGTTCATCCACTTTCACACATTTCTGTGAGCATCCAGATAGACCCTGGGGCTGACTTTTTTTTTTTTTCCTTGCTCTCTCTTCAGTGAGTTTCAGTCTGGGCTTGAATAAAACTGCTCTTCTGGACTGAGTTCCCTAAGGAACGCATCTTCCTGGCATTTTCCCTGGAGGGAACTTAGATGTTTTGTTAGCGCCAGAATGTCCCTCAGTCTCCTCGGTCCTCTCATGGAATCACCAGGTCTTGGTGTGCTTATCAGAGAGACTGCACACCCTGCAGTCCTGATATGCCCTTGTTGTGTCTGATATGCCCTTTCTGCATCTCTACGAGTAGTACTGACTCAGATCAGCAATGAGTACCCTTCATCCTCTTCTCCACCCCAGCAGGTGCGAATGGGCCTCTTCCATCCTGTTTCCCACTCGCCTGTGTGTGTCTTCTCATTAATATTCCTGACCATGGATCCAGATGCTCCATGACAGGCCACTGAGGGCCTCCCTGGGCTTTCCTTTGCCTGCTCTGCTCTGGGGGATTGGACAGGATGGAGACAGGGATCTTGTCCAGGGATCAAGAGAAGCATGTGTTAGTGCACACAAATGCTTTCCTTTCTTCTCCTGCATCATTATTACAATTTTGGGGGGGCCTCGATCATACTTAATTCCAGTAAAGAATATGTAGAATCCTTGGGGTTTTGGGGAAAGGACATGTTAGTTTCACTCAGACAAAAATCACTATTCTGTTGCTGCTGGTGGGTACTTAGGACAAACATACAAGGAGAGGAAAGAAAAAACCCAGAATTATCTTTTGGAGGGTGGGACCCTTGTAGTACAGGCTTCCTCCGCTAGGTGAGTGTTCTAGGAACCCATTGGCGTCTGTGGACCAGCTAGTGTTGCTATGAGAGACTGTATTCAAGCTTCAGGGAATTTTTTTTTTTTTTTTTTGAGAGTCTTTCAGTTGGTTTGCCCATTTCATGATGGGTGATTTACCAGCACACCTGCTCCCACTGCGCTGAGAGTTCAGCAGTTTTTGACCAAAAAGCAGCATGACCCCCATGTCCCACCCTCCTATTCACCAGATGACTTTTCCCAAATGACTTTTTTTTTGTTTCCTTGGATGAAAAAGTCCTCAAAGGGAAATGTTTTGCCGATGTGGAAGAGACGAAACAAAAAACATCAGAAACACTAAAAGGAAACAAAATTGATGACCTCAAAACTGTTCTGAGCAGTGGGAAAAGTGTCCCGATAGGTGTACTGTATCAAGCAGAGAGTACTTTGAAGGTGACTGAAGTTTTTCTTTTTTTTTGAAAGCAGGATTATTGAGAGGACAGATCCCATAGTGGAAGGGGACTCAAGGGCGTTACCCTGAAGTTTTAACTTGTAAGAATAAATACACAATTTTTCATAAATAAATTCCAGGTTTTTGGGGTACCCCTTGGACACTGACATCTGTGTCTTAAGGGCAGGGACAACCACTTCCTGCCCCCTTCCTAGCACTGCCCCCAAAGTAAGGCCCTGTGTTGGTGCCCAATGGGCAGGTGGCTGTCATGCCCTCAAGAATACCGTGTCAGAGACAGACCGTGTCAGGCCACAGCCAGCAGGCATAGCACGCAGCCAGGGAGCATGCACTTGAACTAGATCCTGCTTCCACTTGGCTGTGTATGGGGCTTCCCAGCCTCCTTCCTTGGGGGAGCTGCGGCCCAGTTGTGTTGGCTGTGGTTCTAGGCTGGGGCCACACAGCGTCACGCCAGAGCTCTGCAACCCAGGCGGGGGAGGCTGCTGGGTGAATTGGACTTTTCCGTGGCAGCCTGAAGCCCACTTTGGTTTGCGGAGTGGTGGCCACAGCTCCGTTCTGCTGTTTAAGCAGGTATTCTCGCTTACGGAAAGGGCGTCATGGGATCCCTTAGAAGTAGCTCTTGTGGTGGGCTTCTAGTCTTGCTGAAATTGAAAACCTTCCTCTAATGGCATCCACATGTTTCAAAATGTGGTCAATTTTGTCTTTCCAGCATTTTGAACTTTCTGTTTAGTGGCCAGACACATCAGAGCTATGGAGTCTAAAACTTGAAGGCCAAAGGACTCCCCTTCAACCTCATGCCCCCACAAAGATTGTAGTGGTCTTCCGAGTCCTGGCTCCAACCCCCACCCCTCCACACAGCCTTTCTTGAATGTGACATTCGTGTCAGTTTCCCCTGACATTCTATACCACATCTGCACGCCGTACCACGGAGCTTCAGCCTCAATCACACGCTGAATTGCTCGTGGGGCAAATATTTAGTAAAGATCAGCAGCTTAAAGCTTCTGACCTAGGGACTTTGCATCATAGGAGACGAAGTCCAGAAAACCCTTCAAATTGCCCTCAACAAAAAGCTTGGCTGGGCCAGTGGCTCACGCCTGTAATCCTAACACTTTGAGAGGCAGAGGTGAGAGGACTGCCTGAGCCCAGGGCTTCAAGACCAGCCTGAGCAACATGGTGAGACCTCGTCTCTACAATAAATAAATAAATAAATAAATAAATAAATAAATAACCACGTGTGGTGGCACACACCTGTAGTCCCAGCTACTTGGAAGGCTGAGGCAGAAGGATCGCCTGAGCCCAGCAGGTTGAGGCTGTGGTGGCCGTGAGCATACTACTGCACTCCAGCATAGGTGACAGAGTGAGACCCAGACTTTAAAAAAAAAAAAGATAGCAAAGACTCTCACTGCTGTCCTGCCCATTGTGCTCTTCACAATGTATCTTCCCTTTAATAAATCTACCTTTAAAAAAAAAACAACCTTGGCCTGTGATATATACAGGGAAAGCATAGGCTAGGGTGGCTGAGATGATGCTGCAGTGAAAAGGTACCTTGGAGTCTCCATCAGCAACCTGGACACAACAAGGATGTGTTTTTCTCTCAAGTTCATGTCCAGCAAAAGTCTGCAGGGTGTGCGACTCATGGTCCAGATGGAGGGAGCAGCTGATATCTTGCCAGCAATCCTCTTTAGGAGCTGGGACTATGGGCATGTACCACCATACCCAACTAAATTTTTTTTGGTAGAGACAGGGTCTTGTTATATTGCCCAGGATGGTGTCGGACTCCTGTCCTCAAATGATCCTCCTACATCAGCCTCCCAAAATGCTTGCTAAGGTTACAGGCTTGAGCCACTGCGTCTGGCCCTGAATATCTCTAAATTTACAATGTGCTGCGCCCAATTAGGGTATTTTTAATAAATATTCGGGGCGCCCCCTAGTGGCTTCCTAGAGATTGTAACTTCTTCCACAGGCACCTAATTACATTTTCAAACAAAACTATGAACAAATACATACTCATCTCATGGTGCTGAAAGTCCTTTGACACTCCCTAAGAACACACAAGCTCATTCCTAAATGCACCATCAAAGAACGGGACATCACATCCTTTTTGTCAACTAGATTTTTCCCTAAATGCCCCAAATGTTATATTATTCTCAAAATAAGGGAAAGAAAGGGAATCTGGAGGGAGAAATTATTTTGAAGTATCCAGTTTTTTGTGTGTGAACACACTTGTGTATGCTGATATTCTTTCAAAGTACATAGTTTACTTAAAATTTAGAAAATATTTGTTTCTAAAAGAAAAACTCAAGATCAGCTAGGCATGGTGGCTCACGCTTGTAATCTCAGCACTTTGGGAGTCAAAGGCAAGAGGACTGCCTGAGTCCAGGGCTCAAGAGCAGCCTGGGCAACTTGGTGAGACCTCATCTCTACAATAAATCAAAAAATTAGCTGAGGGTGGTGGCATACACCTGTGATTACAGCTATTAGAAGGCTGAGGCTGCAGTGACTGTGATCGTGCCACTGCACTCCAGCCTGAGCGATAGAGTGAGACTCTGCTCAATTAAAAAAAAAAGATAATTGAGCAAACATATTCCAAATAAGTCACAATTTTCATTCCCTTCCAGATTTTCTTGTAAATGTTTATCTTAGGATGCATAGGTTACATGTGAGAATAAAAGTGAGTTCTAGTTACAGTTTTTGAAAAACAAACAAGACCAAGAGCAGGTCTTTACTGGAGATCCCAGGACTCTGGCAGGTGATGCTGACCTTAGAGCAGTTGCCCCCAGCCCCCTCATATGTCTCAGTTTCTTCCTATCGGGCCTCAACATCCTGACCTTTTCTGGCAAACCAGTTCTCATAATTGCACTCTAATAATTTAGAGGCTTTGTTGGCCTCACCCACTAGCATGGACATACCATGAGTGAAAACAGGGACATTGTCAGCCTGGCTTGTCAGGGCTTCTCTGTCCCCACACAGGCCTGGGTTACTCCCTCAATCTCTGTGGAATGAATGAATGGATGAAAGAATGAATGATGCCCTCGGATGTGTGCTTCTGTGATCCTACGAGGGAATGCATGTGGAAGAGAAGGAGGGAATGCAAAATTTGGCCTCAAACACTCTTGTACCCTGCTGCCACCGAGGAGGACACTTGGGGACTCACTCTCTGCTGTTTCCAGGGGGTTATTACTTGACCAGCGCCTATGGAGCACTTTCTCTGATAAAGAACTTCCAGGAGGAGCAAGCGGCACGCCTACTCAGCTCAGAGACCAGGGACACCCTGAGGCAGTGGCACAAACGGAGGACCACCAACCGGACCATCCCTTCTGTGGATGACTTTCAGGTATGCAACAGGGCACCCCGCACGACCTCCTCTGTCCTCCTGGATTGTGGAGTGCGCTCACCTGGCACATCCCAGCTCAGGGTCCCCTGTTTTTTGAATGACCTGGTGGAAAGGGGGTATTTTAAACCATCTGACCTCGCGGGCACAAGTGATCCTCCCTGGTTTCACTTCTCTGTTTTCTCTAAATGTGTACGCACATGTATACGTAGGATGCTTGGTCTGAGTGTTGCTGCCCTTAAAAAAAACCGAGTCAGGCCAGGCATGGTGGCTCTTGCCTGTAATCCCAATACTTTGGGAGGTCAAGGTGAGAGGATTGCCTGAGCCCATGGGTTCAAGATCAGACTGGACAACTTGGTGAGACCTCCTCTCCACAATAAATAAAAAGAATCAGCTGGGTGTGGTGTCATGTGCCTATAGTTCCAGCTACTTGGAAGGTTGAGGTGGAAGGATCGCCTGAGCCTAGCAGGTCGAAGCTGTGGTGGCCATGAGTGTGCCACAGCACTCCAATCTGGGCAACAGAGTGAGACTCTGACTCCAAAAAAAAAAAAAAAAAAAGCCAGGCACAGTGGCTCATGCCTGTAGTCCCAGCACTTTGGGAAGCGGAGGCAAGAGGATTTGCCTGAACCCACAGGTATGAAACCGGTCTGGACAACATGACGAGACCTCATCTCTAGAGTAAATTTAAAAAATTATCTGGGCCTGGTGGTGCATGCCTGTAGTTCCAACCTGAGGCAGAAGGATTGCCTGAATCCAGCAGGTCAAGGCTGTGGTGGCCGTGAGTATGCCACTGCACTCCAGCCTGGGTGACAAAGTGATACTCCGACTCAGAAAAGAAAACAGCGTCGAATGAAAGCAGAATGCAGACAAAAGAAGCAGACAGGAAGTCAGACAGGAGGAGGGAGTGCTTGGCATGGGCAGCGGGTATTTTGTTTCATCAGGAAGCAGCCGTGTTATGCGCTGCAGTTGGCCTGGGATCTCCTTGGGAAGAGGGAGAGGAACAGTGAGTCTTTCCTCCTCTCCTTCTACTTTTTTCTCAGCCGATCCCCAAAACAGAAGACCCCTGAGTCTCAGTAGTAGCTGTGGCAGCTGGCCTAGGCCTGGGGTGACTGGGTAATCAAGCAAGTCCTGGAGCTTTCCATGACCATGAGCTGAAGCCCAGCACTGGGGGATACACAGTGAGCTCGCTTTTTAAAGCAAAGAGGCGGGTGAGGGCTACAAAACTTCACCCAACAACTCCTGTTTGGCTTATAGTCTCTGAAGTTATCAGTGAGTTGGAAAATGTCTTTGAATATATTTTGAAGTTTTTTTTTTGAGTCAGGGTCTCACTCAGTTGCTCGGCTGGAATGCAGTGGTATGATCATGTCTCAGTGGATCCTTGACCTCCTGGGCTCAGGTGATCCTCCTACCTCAGCCTCTTGAGTAGGAGGTTGAGGTCATAGGAACATGCCACCATGCTCAGCTAATCTTTTGATTTTTTTTTTTTTTTGATCTGGAGTCTCACTTTGTCTCCCAGGCTGGAAGGCAGTGGCACGCTCACGATCACAATAACCTCGACCTGCTAGGCTCCAATGATCCTTCCACCTCAGCCTTCCAAGTAGCTGGAGCTACAGGCACACGCCACCCCTGGCTAATTTTTTGATTTATTGTAGAGACGAGGTCTCACCAAGTTGGCAAACTCCTGGGCTCAAGTGATCCTCCTGCCTTAGCCTCCCAAAGTGCTGGGATTATAGTCATGAGCCACTGCACTCAGCCTATTTTGAAGATTTTAAATTGCATTCTAAACCTGGCTGTGCCTTGTGTCTGTGTGTCACATGGTGAGTTCCCAAGCAGGGAACAGGAAAAGCAGGGACAGATTTGTCTCCCTGTCCGGATTCAGTTTCTATGCCATTCTTTTTTGCCTTCTTAATGCCCTGAAAACAATCAAAAGGCACATTTGGTTCAAAGTCTTTCCATCTTCAAAAGGCAGGATCAGCTCATTCTTTTCCAAGTTTGCAGTATTCTCCAAAATTCCTTCCAGACACACAAGTCTAATGTACAAGAACACAGGCTATGGACTGCCCCAGACCCCTGGGGTTCTTTTTTTTGGAGTCAGGGTCAGGGACCAGGCACAGTAGCTCACGCCTATAATTCCAGCACTTTGAGAGGCAGAGGCGAGAGGATTACCTGAGCCCAGGAGTTCGAGACCAGCCCAGGCAACATGGCCAGACCTCATCTCTACGATACCTCAAAAAATGAACCAGTTGTGGTGGCCACGCTCCTATAGTCCCAGCTGCTCAGAGGCAGAAGAATCGCCTGAGTTCAGGAGGTCAAGGCTGCAGTAGCCACGATTGTGTCACTGCCCTCCAACCTGGTGACAGAGTGAGACCTCGACTCAAAAAAAAAAAAAAAAAGTTTGTGTGTTAAGTGATGTGGTACATGCAGATGCCTGGCAAATTGTCATACAAGCTACTCAGGGTGGGAGTTCCCAACTAGAGATGTAGAGGAAATGAGAAAAGCCCTTCCTTCTGTCCCCTCTCTAGGCCCTTCCTTCTGTTCCTTGTCTCCATGAGAGACCCCAGGCACCACGGGGCCCCTTCCCTCTGCCCACCCCCACTGGCCTTGGAAGCTTACACCCAAGAGGGACAGTTTCAGGTCTCAGCTCAGGGATCAAAGCAAGAGCCCAGATTTAGACACAAGACTCCACTTAGAACTCATACATCAGAGGTCACAGACTTGCTGGGCGCGGTGGCTCACTTCTACAATCCCAGCACTTTGGGAGGTAGAAGCGAGAGGATTGCCTGAGCCCACGGGTGCCTGGACAACATGGTGAGACCTCGTTTCTACAATAAATCAAAAAATAAACCGGGCGTGGTGTTGTGCGCCTGTGGTTCCAGCTACTTGGAAGGCTGAAGCAGAAGGATCAGCTGAGCCCAGCAGGTCGAGGCTGTGGTAGCCGTGAGCATGCCACTGCACTCCAGTCTGGGTGACAGAGTGAGACTCCAACACACACACACAAAAAAAGAGGTCACAGACTCAGTGTCTCCCTGCATGGGAAGAGGCTGTTCGCCACAGGCCACAGTGGTAAAGGTGGCTGGGCTGCCTTGGCCATGTGCTAGCTGTGTGGCCTTGGGCAAGGTGCTTGGCCTCTTCATGCCTCAGTGTCCTTGCAGGTCAAATGGGGATCACATAGACTTCCTTCACAGACTCCTCTTCAGGAGTCAATTAGTAACTACATCCAACATGCTGGAGCACAGCACGGGGCAGGGATGGAATGGGAGAGGCCAAAGGGGGCACAGACTAAAGTTGTGTGGATTCAAGAGGGTTGGACTGGGCGCCCCAGGAGTCACCTCTCTGCAAAGCTGTGGGTAGTAGATGTCCCCTCCAGAAGCAGACATGACACAGATCCTGCTTGTGCAGAGCACAGCGTCTGTCCCAAGAGTTCTCCCTCCTGCTCTCCCAGAAAACCCTCGTGGGAACCACGTGGGAATTCAGCAGAGAGCCCACATCCCCTCCCCGCTCCTGAGCAAGCTGCCAGATGTAGAGCATGTGTTTGTTTTCTAACTGGAACTCGAGTGGAACCAGGTGTCCTATATTTTTATCTGATAACCCCACTCTGCCTTTTTTCCTTTTTATTTTGAGTCGGAGTCTCACTCTGTTGCCCGGTCTGGAGTCAGGCGATACTTCCACCTCCACCTCAGCCTTCCAAGTAGCTGGAACCACAGGCGTGTGCCACTATACCTGGCTAATTTTTTTTGATCTATTGTAGAGATGAGGTCTCACCAAGTTACCCGGGCTGGTCTCGAATCTGTGGGCTCAGGGAATCCTCTCACCTCAGCCTTCCAAAGTGCTGGGATTATAGGCATGAGACAATGTGCCCAGACGTATCTCACACTCTTAAGCAAGTATTTCAGTTTTTGTAGAGGCGAGGTCTTGCTATGTTGCCCAGGCCAGCCTTGAACTCCTGAGCTCAAGTGATCCTCCTACCCCCGCCTCCCAAAGTGCTGGGATTACAGGTGTGAGTCACAGTGCCCAGTCAGCAAAGATGTCCTAACCAGGCTTTATGAGAGAATTTAAAAGATCAGAACATGGGCTGAATGGTCTTCCAGCTTCTTGTGCTTGCAGTGAACAATCATAGAGTTATCCTCTCTGCTGTCCGAATTCGGATCAGCCTCCCCTCATCATTCAAGGCCTAGCCCTTCCGCAGATTCCCCTGGCGCTCACCCATGGCCCTGTCTGGTTTTCTCTTCTGACTCTGTCTTGACATCCCTCTTCCTGCCTGCAGAATTACCTCCGCGTAGCATTCCAGGAGGTCGACAGTGGCTGCACAGGGAAGACCCTCCTGGTGAGGCCATACGTCACCACAGAGGACGTGTGTCAGATCTGCGCAGAGAAGTTTAAGGTGGGGGACCCCGAGGAATACAGCCTCTTTCTCTTCGTGGATGAGACGTGGCAGCAGCTAGCAGAGGATACGTACCCGCAGAAGATCAAGGCGGAGCTGCACAGTCGACCCCAGCCCCACATCTTCCATTTTGTCTACAAGCGCATCAAGAATGACCCCTATGGCGTCATTTTCCAGAATGGAGAAGAAGACCTCCCTGCCTCCTAGAAGGCACAGGGGACTGCCCTGTGAGGCATCCAAAGGGAGGCTGGGGGCCTCCCTTCTGGCTTATATGTGCTAGAGCTTGAAGAGCTGTACCCTCCCCAGGGCTCCTCGGTTCTGTGACTAAGCCATCCACAGGGCCTTTCAGCCAAGGGCATCTTCACCACGGAAGATGGCTGAGGTCCGTGAGACAGCAGGAGTGTCCTTCAGCAATGCAGTCGCATTCGATGGTTCAGGTGCCCTGAGACTGTCTGCTACCTACCACCAGTCAGATCCTAGGTCAGCTCATGTGTATGTGTCTATGTGTTATGAACATTTAAGATGCCAACTCTTCTCTTGAATTCCACAGCAGATGTTTGACAAGACTGTCCAGTGCAGTGCGTCAGGTAATTCTCAGTTCTGTGGGTGGCTCCCTCCCTCCCTTTGTTTCTTTCTTTCGTTCTTTTTTTTTTTTTTTTTACAAAGAGCCTTTGTGTTTTTATATATTTCATAGAAATTTTTATAGCAGTTGCAGGTAAACTGTCAGGATTGGTTTTTAAAATATTTTTGTAACTTTAAAATATTCTATAATTATGCATGTGATTTTAACATTTAATATTCGAAAAATAAATCTCTTGCTGGATTGGAGAGTAATGCATTTTCAAAGTCTCTCTTCTACTGTAACTGGATGTTTGGTTGACTTTGTGAGGAGAGACTTCTTAAATCGACATATTCCTGACACTGGCCACAGAATGCCTTTGGAAATCTGATGTACTGTCATATCATGATGTTTTGCTGTTTTTTTTTCTTTTAAACAAGTGATGCTGAGAATAAGGAGAGAAATGAATGTAGAAAAAGGTAGAGGGAGAAATACAGACTCTGACGGAGGACTGAGGAGGGTGGTCTGCTGGTTCAGACTCTTAGAGAGAAATAGGTAAAGGAAATGCTTAAAATACTGTAAATATGCAGTGAGATTTGGTAAAATCTATTCCATATGTTATCTGCTTTTGGAGACATTTTGAAAACCCCAGGAGGGAAAAAAATAAAATCAAGAATAACACTTTTGCTGGGCGCAATGGTGCACACCTGTAATCCCAGCACTTTGGGAGGTTGAGGTGGGAGGATCACTTGAGCCCAGGAGTTTGAGACCAGCCTGGGCAACATAGCGAGACCTCATCTCTATAAAATAAAATAAAAAAAATAGCTGGGTGTGGTAGCAGGCATATATACTCCCAGCTACTTGAGAGGCTGAGGTGGGAGGATCCCCTAAGCCTGGAAGCCAAGGCTGTGGTGAGCTATGATCATGTCACTGTACTCCAGCCTGGGTGACAGAGCGAGACTCTGACTCAAAAAATAATAATAAAAAAATTAAAATAAATAAATAAATAAATAAACAAATAACATGTTTTCCCCTTTTCCATGCAAGTCAAAACTAACAGTGTCAAATTATCTGGGACAAGAATCAAATGATACATAATGTGGCTTCCATTGAGTTAAAGAAGATGCTTTACATTGGGAAAGAGTTTGAAAATGCCCCCCAGCATTGATCAGCATTGTAAGAATCTTAATTCTAAGAACAGGGGAGTTAAACTTATGTTTTATAAAACCAGTTTGCAGGTGCCCACATTGTGGGGGCCTTGTATCAATGTAACACAGGTCATTACAGAAACATGTTATTGTACTGTGTAAAGATGCATAGTCATCTAGTTTGGTTGGCTTTGTACCTTGTACCCATTTTTTAGCCTCGGCTTTTGTTGTAAAGAACCTTCAGCACATACTGTGTTGTACTTCCTTTTGTAAATGATTTTTTAAATGGAGTTTTGCACATAATACATTGTAATACTGTACGATAATCGTGTGAAATAATTTTTGAAATAGTCTCTGGTCGTGTTTGTTTCTTTGAGAGTAAAAAATGTAATCGTGCCCCACACACAGTGTCATGTAAACCTGAAATCCAAGCCAGAGTTTGTGGTTAGATCATCTAAAGATAGTAACCAGTAAAGAACACATTTTTCAGAAGCTGGTGTACTAATACAGGGCAGAAGTTAAGGAGCAGGAGGAAAAGATCATCTTTTGATCTGGTAGGGTTTCCATGGTTATCAAGAACAGTACCTGGCTTAGTGGGACCCAGAACAAGCCTCAGGTGCCCTTAATGCTGAGTTAGCCAGGGCCTTGCAGGCAGCCCCTCCCCATCCTGGTACAACCGTGGAAATGTCTGGCTGACAGTTCAGTGCTGCTTCAAAATTGACAGGGCCAAATCTGGGGCCTCTTTGCTGCCATATTTCCCATGCATGGAACTGTGCCTGGAATATAATAAGTGCTCAATAAATTCTTGTTAGCAGAAGGAAGGAGCACCTTAATGTTTAGAAGGGTTTCTAAGCAATCAGTAGGGTAAATAATTTTTTTTAAAAGGGCTGAATGGGCTTTGTTTTTTAGTTGGATTCTCACTCCATAACCCAGACTGGAGTGCAGTGGCATGTTCACAGCCACCCCAGCGTCGACCGGCTGGGTTCCAGTAATCTTTCCACGTCAGCCTTCCAAGTAGCTGTAGCTCCAGGCGCATGCTACCACACCTGGCTAATTTTTAAATAATTTATTGTAGAGACAAGTTGCCCGGGTTGGTCTTCAACCCACGGGCTCAGGCAATCCACTCCCCTAAGCCTCCCAAAATGCTGGGATTATAGGTGAGCCACAGAACCCAGCCTGAATGGGCTTTTGATATTTACAATGAACTCAATGACGACAGCTCAATCCTTAAGTTTTTTTTTTTATAAATTTAGATTCAAGGGGTACACATGTATATCTGTTACATGAACGCATTGTGTAGTGGTGGAGGTGGGGTCTCAGGGGACCCATTACCCAGATAATGAACATTGTGCCCTAGAGGTGATTTCTGAACCGTAGCCCTCTCCTCACCTCCCTCCATTATTGGTGTCTCCAGTGTCTATTATTTCCATCTTTGTGACTATTTTGCTCCCACATATGAGTGAGACCTTGTGGTGTTTAGTTTTCTGTTTCTGAGTCAGTTCACTTAGGATGGTCTCCAGCTCCATCCATGTTGTTACAAAGGATATGATTTCATTTTCTTATGGCTGCTAAATTATTATTATTTTTTAATTTATTTTTTTGGTGGAGAGAGGGTCTCACTGTGTTGCCTATCTGGTCTTTTTAATTTTTTTGAGTTGGAGTCTCACTCTGTCACCCAGGCTATAGTGCAGTGGCACACTCACAGCCACCACAGATTCCACCTGGGCTCAGGAGATCCTCCCGCCTCAGCCGCCCGAGTAGCTGGGACTATAGGCGTGTACCACCATGCCCAGCTAATTTTTTGTTTGTTTGTTTTTGTGTCAGAGTCTCACTGACGCCCAGGCTGGAGTACAGTGGCACAATTATGGCCATCGCAACTACTACCTGCTGGGCTCAGGCAATCTTTCTGCCTTAGCCTTCCAAATTGCTGGAACTATAGGCATGCGCCACCACACCTGGCTACACTTTTTATTTATTGTGGACACGAGGTCTTGCCAAGTTGCCCAGGCTGATCTCGAACCCTGGGCTCAGGCAATCCTCTTGTCTCAGACTCCCAAAGGGATTACAGACTTGAGCCACCACACCCGGCCCAATTTTTTAATTTATTGTAGAGACGAGGTCTCACCAAGTTGCCCAGGCTGGTCTCAAACCCCTGAGCTCAGGTGATCACTCCTCTTACTTCTACCTCCCAAAGTGCCGGAATTACAGGCCACTGCGCCCAGCTTAAGTTTTAAATTTTTTGTAGAGACTGGGTCTTACTATGTTGCCCAGGCTGGTCTCGAACTCCTGGGCTCAAGTAATCCTCCTGCCTCAGCCTCCCTAAGTGCTGAGATGATAAGTATGAACCACCCCATCCAGAAGAAATCAGTCCACTTTGATTTAAAGTAGCTTATGACCTCTGGATGAGAGACAGTCCGAGCAGCCTTCCGTAGGATGAGAGCAAGATCAGAGTAGGAAAAGTCAGTGTGGGCAGAAGACAGCATCACAAGACCAGCCCTGGTTTTGTCATTGGGCAATGCTTCCCTGTTAAAATTACAACACCACATGTGTCTCCTCTGTTTCCCCCACGCAGGCATTTCTCACTTCTCAAATTGCCAGGAAACAGACTTGGTCGAAGGTTGGAAGCAGTGAGGGGAGAGTAAAAATATACATGCTGGGTGGAGGAAGAAGGATGCTCTTCCAAGTCCAAAAATATGAGTTGACTGCTGGCCAGAGGAAGGGATTTTTTTTTTCTTGAAGGCATGATTATTTTTTTAATGTTGTATGCACTGCCAAATACCCCCACCCTCCCAGCCCCCAGGGAGACAGAGTAGAAATAGAAACTGTTACAGTCGCTCATATCATGTGGAAGTTACAACTTTAGATCTATAAGAAGACACCAGGGACAGGAAGCCCAGCCGTGAGTGTTTCCATTCACAAATGTAGTTTCATCTCCACTGGGCTGCTCTTACCTTCATCTTCGCCAAGAGACTTGAAATGAGGGCACACTCTGATTTTTATTTTTGTTTTTTGAGACAGGGTCTTACTGTGTGGGCCAGACTGGAGTGCAGTGGCACAATCACAGCTGACCGCAGCCTCGATCTCCTGGACTCAGGAGATTCTTCCACCTCAGCCTCCAAGTAGCTGGAACTACAGGCGTGTATCCACCATGCCCAGATAATTTTTTCTTTTTTTGTAGACAGAAAAGATGATGTTTATGATTTCATTACCAGATGCTGCCAGATGATTGAAATGCAGTGTTCCACACACGCTGTACTTGTCAGAGCCCTTCCTGTGTCCCTTCTCTCAGATTTCTGGGATGTAATCAGACGTGCTGTTAAAAATCAGAGTGTACTGTGTGTAGTGGCTCACGCTTGCAATCCCAGCACTTTCGGAAGCCAAGGCAGGAGGATCATTTGAGCCCAGCCTAGGCAACATAGCAAAAGTTGGTCTCTACAAAAAAAAAAATTAGCTGGGCATTGTGACACCTGCCTATAGTCCCAGCTACTTGGGAGGCTGAGGCAGGAAGATCACCTGAGCCCCAGAAGGTAGAGGCTGTGGTGGGCTGTGATTGTGCCGCTGAACTCCAGCCTGGGCAACAGAGTGAGACCCCGACTCCAAAATAAATACATAAATAAAGTGGAACCCAGGCTGGCCCTCAGAAACCTCCATGGGGAAACTTTGAAGTGAGGTGTTGGGTAGAGGCGGGGGAGCAGCTCTTTATCTTGATTCTACCAAACTCTTCCATGCAAAAGTGGAATTTGCCTGAAGCCTGAGATTCTATGTAATAGACATTTAGAATGTCATTATAGAAATGAGCATTTCCCTTGACCAAACACATTAGAACCACTGTGGCCAGCTCCTGTTTCTCACTGCTGGGGATGCTGGGGGGTGCTCAGATCCCCCCACCTGGGGTGAGGGCTTGGAGCCTGAG